ACAAAAGTAACTCACATGCCTATAGCATTTTCCAAAGGTTCCCAAAGCCTCTGAGGGAAGTAACAAATGTATTCTAATCCCCATTTTATAGAGGAGGAAAGGAAGTCTCAGAGAACTTTAATAGTTTTTTCATGATCACACAGTAAATATCAAAGCCATGGACAGAGCAAAGTAAACATATAAGCACTACATAAGGTATGTACAGATATTTGCTATGTGTTGTCTATATATTTATATATCTACACACATATGTACAAACAAATATAGGCATATAGATACTTATGTTATTGTCACTTATAACTTGTATGTATGTATGTATGTATGTATGTATGTATGTATGTATGTATAATAGAAGGAGGGAAATGTACAACATTTTCCCCAAACTCCTCAATTTCTTTTCATAGGTGGACATTTCAGAGAAAAGATTTTGATCTGATAGGAGGGGGAAAAATATTTCCTAACAACTAAAATGTCCAATAGGAGAACTGGTTGCCTCAGGAGGTAGTTTACTCCTGATAACTAGAAGTTTTTGGGTGAAGGTCAGATGGCCAGGATCACCCACTGGCTCATAGACTAAGAGCTGAAAGACACATTTGAAACTTTCAAGTCCAGCCTGCTCATTTGACAAATGAGCAAAATCAGATGCAGAGAGGTTGAATGATTTGGCTAACGGGAACCAAGCAGAGAGTAGCAGAGTAGAGATTTAGACCCAGCCTCTGTGACTTCTCTTCCTTTCCAAGTACACCATGTTGTTTTCATTGGTAAGGGGCATTGGGAGATCAAATTTCTCATTCAAGGAACAGCAAAAAAGCCAGTGTCACTGGATAACAGATTATGTGGGTATAAGACGACTAGAAGGTATAGGAAGAACTGGAAAGGTAAGAGAAAACAAAGTTATGAACAGGTTTAAAAGCCAAAGGATTTTATATATGATTCTGGAGGGAATAAGGAGCCGCTGGAATCATTTGAAATAGGAAGTATATTTTCAGGTGCAGGTCAAACTAGATGACTTCTGAGCTCCCTCCCTTCCAACTTTGATATTCTGTGGTTCTCTGAATCCATTTCCCTGTCCTATACGGTGACTAAGGCAAACATACTTGGTTTAATGATGACATTGGGAATTATATAACCATTATCAAGTATGCAAAGCACTTTGCAGAGATTACCTCATTTGTGTCTCTCAAAAATCCTGTCAGGTAGGTACTACTAATACTCACAGAGGAGCCAACTGAGGCTCAGAGAGATTAAAAAATTGGCCCATGGTCATACGACTAGTAGGTATCAGAGACAAGATTCAGACCCAGCCTTCCTAACTTTATTTTTTTGATGTTGTTTTTGGTGTTTGGGTTTTTTTTTAGGTTATGTATGTGCAGTTATGCAAAACACTTCCATAGTAGACATGTTGTGAAAAACTAACTGTATTTCCTTTAATCCTATCCCACCCCCCCCATTTATTCTATTCTTTCTTTTGACCCTGACCCTCCTCAGAAGTACTTGCTTCTGATTACCCCCTTTCCCAATCTACCCTCCTCTCTATCATCCCCCTACTCCCATGTCCCCTTCCCCCCCCATTTTCCTGTAGGGTAAGACAGATTTCCATACCCAATTGAGTATGTATGTTATTCCCTCCTTAAGTCAAATTCTATGAGAATAAGATTCACTCATTCCTCTTACCTTCCCCCGTTTCCCCTCCACTGTAAGAGCTTTTTCTTTTCTGTTTTTTTTTTTGTGAGACAATTTACCCCTTTCTACCTCTCTCTTTCTCCTTCTCCTAGTATAATCCTCTCTCACCCCTTAATTTTATTCTCCAGATATGACCCCTTCATTTTCAACTCAACCTGTGCCCTCTATCTATTGATCTATATCTATGTACATATATGTACATATAATTTTTTCCCTCCAACTACCCTAATACTGACAAAGGTCTCATGAGTTATAAATATCATCTTTCCATGCAGGAATGTAAACACTTCCACCATAATAAGTCTCTTATGATTTTCTCTTTCCTGTTTACCTCTTCATGTTCCACTTGGGTCTTGTATTTGAAAATCAAATTTTCTATTCAACTCTGGTCTTTTCATCAAGAATGCTTGAAAGTCCTCTATTTCACTGAATGACCATTTTTTCCCCTGAAGGATTATACTCAGTTTTGCTGAGTAGGTGATTCTTGGTTGTAATCCTATCTCCTTTGCCCTCCAGAATATTATATTGCATGCCCTACGGTCCCTTAATATAGAAGCAGCTAAATCTTATGTTACCCTGATTGTGTTTCCACAATCCTTGAATTGTTTCTTTCTGGCTGCTTGTAATATTTTCTCCTTGACCTGGGAACTCTGGAATTTGGCTACAGTATTCCTAGAAGTTTTCCTTTGGGGATCTCTTTCCGGTGGTGATTGGTAGATTCTTTCAATTTCTATTTTGCCCTCTGCTTCTAAAATATCAGGGCAGTTTTCCTGGACAATTTCTTGAAAGATGATGTCTAGGCTCTTTTTTTGATCATGGCTTTCAGATAGTCCAATAATTTTTAAATTCCCTCTCCTGGATCTATTTTCCAGGTCACTTGTTTTTCCAATGAGATATTTCACATTGTTTTCTAATTTTTCATTCTTTTGGATTTGTTTTACAGCATCTTGATTTCTCATAAAGTCACTAGCTTCCAATTGCTCTATTCTAATTTTTAAGGAAGTATTTTCTTTGGTAATCTTTTGGACTTCCTTTTCCATTTGTCCAATTTTGCTTTTTTAGAGCATTCTTCTCCTCATTGGCTTTTTGGACCTCTTTTGCCATTTGAGTTAGGCTATTTTTTAAGGTGTTATTTTCTTCAGTATTTTTTTGGGTCTCCTTTAGCAAGGTGTTAACTTGTTTTTTATGATTTTCTTGCATCACTCTTAGTTTTTCCTCTACTTCTCTTACTTGCTTCTTAAAATCCCTTTTGAGCTCTTCCAAATTCTTCTTGGAGGCTTTGGATTTAGGAGCTTTGGCTTTGTTGTCTTCTTCTGGTTGTATGTTTTGATCTTCTTTGTCACCAAAGTAAGATAATATAGTCTGACTCTTTTTGCGCTGCTTACTCATGATCCCGGCCAATTACTTGAGTTTTAAACTCTTTGGTAAGGTAAAAGTCTGTTTCCAATGTGGAGAATGTACTGTCGCAAGCTTCAGGGGTTTGTACAGCTGTTTTCAGAGATACTTCTAGGGACCTGAAAATTTTCAGTTCTTCCAAGGTGCTGTGACAAGGAGCGAGGTGTTTTCTCTCCACCACCACAACAAGCTCCACCACACCAGCATTCCTCCTTGCCCCAGGACCGCCCCTCAGAACTGTGACCCAGATCCAAGCACCAGTAAAGCAAGAGATTCCTGCCCCTGCACTGGCAAAGAGATCCCTGTAATCCCCCTCTCATCAGCCACTTGATTTCCCCTCGGTCTGTGGGCTGGAAGCTCAGGAAACAGCCGTGGCCCCAGGCCACGCTCGAGACTTGCAACTGAGACCTAGCTCCTTCTCTCACCTCAGTCACAGACTTTTCCCACTGACCTTCTAGGTTGTCTTTGGTGTTTGTGGGTTGAGAAATCTGGAAACTGCCACAGCTGCCCGTGATTCAGTCCTCTGAGGCATGCTTCAGGGTCGCTCCAGCCTGAGCACCCACGCCAAACTGTGTTCCTCTCTTCGCCTGGTGCGATATACCTTTCTGATCAACCATCCAGGCTCTCTTTGGCTGGAAATGTGTTTCACTCTGTCTTTTTGTGGGTTCTGCTGCTTTAGAATTTGTTTAGGGCCATTTTTATAGGTATTTGGAAGGGTTTGGGGGGAAAGCTCAAACAAGTCACTACTTTCCCTCTGCCATTTTGGCTCCACCCCCCTAACTTTAAATCTAGCATTCTATCCACCATGCCAGGCTCCAATATTCTTACTAGCTATTGCAAGGGGGAATGAGGGCCTCTAATGGTATATCCCCACCTGATGACACTAAAGAACTTGCAAGTGTGAGTATTGTGATAACATATAATTGAAGTGCCTCTGAGAGACATTAGAGCATGTGTAAACATTGAGTAGCTGGTTCTGGTCAGCTAACCATGTGTGGAGGCCCTCTGATTGGCTGTGAAAGCATTCAAAAGGACTGAGTCAGTTTTGGCTTCATGTTTTTACCTCTCTGCTCTGTTTAACCCCTTCAATCATAGCAATCAGTCAAAGGCAATACTGTAATGCTGACTATGGGTTTTATTAATCCATTCTATTTTTCTGGCCCAATAGCATAAATCTAACATATCTTTCTATTTCTTCCCAAATTGTATGCCTTTTTATTATGCTGGTATATTCCATATTATGGAATAATATTCCATATTATTATGGGGCAGTTAGGCAGATCAGTGGAGAGAATGATCGACTTGGAGAAAGAAAGACTCCTCTTTCTGAGTTCAAATTTGGTCTCAGACACTTATTAACTGTGTGACCTTGGGCAAGTCACTTAACCCTCTTTGTTCATATGTGAAATTGAGATAATAGTACCTATCTCCCAGGGCTGTTGGAGGATCAGATGAGGTAATGTTTGTAAACTGCTTAGTACAGTGCCTGGCATATAATAAGCAATATATAAATGATATTATTATTATTATTATTATTATTATATGGGGGCAGCTAGGTGGCTCAGTGGACAGAGTGCCAGGCCTGAAGTCAAGAAGACTCATTCTGAGTTCAAATCTGGCTTCAGACACTTACTAGTTGGGTGACCTTAGGCAAGTCACTTAACCATGTTTGCCTCAGTTTCCTCTTTTGTAAAATAAGCTAGAGAAGGAATGGCAAACCATTCTAGTATCTTTGCCAAGAAAACCCCAAATGAGGTCACAAAGATTCTGACATGACTGAAAAACAACTGAATAAATATTCCATATTATGCTGCAATATACCTTTAAATCAAATCAATATGATCTGCCAATAAAACCCATTGCTCATTTTGAATGTGTATGAGGTCATTTTTCTTATAAAAACTCAGAGCTTGTTTACTTACTGGGTAAGATCACAACATCATCACCTGGTGCTGGGGTCGTATGATTATATCCACCCCAGCCCTCTTCAACGTCTTGCCATGTTGTAGGATGGGACCATTTTAAAATGGATTCAGGTACAGCAGACGGAACTACAAAACAGAAGGAACATAACAAAAATCTCAATGCAATTTTTGTTCATTATATTAACTTCCTACTTTTACCTTATTTTAAGATTCTATTGCTATCCTCTACACATCTAGTTATGTTTTGAACCAGTATGTTTCAGAAGTGTCTCTTAGAAGACTGCCATGGCGCAGGGGCTCATCACTTGATTTGAACTACTAAAATAGTTTACTAGTTGGAATTCCTACCTCAATTCTCTCCCCAGTCCAGTCTCTCCTCCACTCAGCTGTCAAAATAATCTTTTAAAAGTGCAAGTTAGACCATGTTACCTCCTATTCAGTTGACTATAGTGGCTCTCTATTGCCTTGGGACTAAAACTAAAAATTCTCTGTTTGACTTTTAAAACCATCCATAACTTGGCTTCTTTCTCTCTACTTTTCTAGTTTTCTTACACTTCTCCCCACATATTCTGCCATTCAATGATGCTGGCCTCCTTGCAGTTCCTTGAACAAGACATTCCATCTCCCAACGTTCACTGGTTATCCCTCATGTTTGGAACTTTCCCCATCCTCGTCTCCTCCTCCTAGCTTTCCTGGATTCCTTCAAGTCTCTGCTTAATTTCCACCTGCTACAAGAAGCCTTTCCCATTCCTCCTTAAGCTTCATGATTTTCCTCTGAAATTACCTCCAACTTCTCTGGTATACATCCTGTTTGTACATAGTTGCTTGACCATAGTCTCCCCCTTAGACTATAAGGTTCTTGAGAGCAGGGATAAATTTTTGCCTTTCTTTTATTACTCTGCACTTAGTGCAGTGTCTGGCATATGTTGGTGCTTGCAATAATTGATTATCACATGCATCCTCTTATCTAAATATCACTCAGCCCCCAAGCTAGTTCATGCTATCTTTTGCCTCTCAACTGAACAAGTATAATAGCCCCTCTACTGGATTTCCTCTCTCCAGTAGCTCATCCATGTAGATGGCAAAATGAGTTTCAACACCATATTCAAATAATCCTTGAATACTCTCTTGTTCAAAAATCTTTCCTTTGCTCCTTCTTGCCTCTACGATATAATCAAAATTCTTCAGTTTGCTATTTAAAAGCATACCACATTCTGGCTCCAACTTAATTTCCAATTTTATTTAATGTTACTCTCCTTCATACACTCTACAATTTGGCAAGCTAGTGGTTTGGCTGTTTTACTTAAACTCGGTATTCTAACTCCAGTCTTCCATTATGTTGCCATCATCAATTATTAGGATACAGTCTGTCCTCATGTCTCTGTCACTTAGATACTTAACCACTTTTACAACTCATGTCAAGTGCTTCCTACCTGAAGCCTTTCTTGAGCATTCCACTTGCTAGGGCTCTCTCCTTTCTTAAAGTACCTTTGTAATAGCTTTCCTGTATACATGCTTATCTCAAATAGAATGTAAGAATTCAAATAGAATGTAAGAATAAAATGTCACTTCATGACAGAGGTTATTTTATCCCTGTATTTGCATCTGGGGAGTCCAGCACAATGCATGACACCTAATAAGTGTTAAACAAATGCTTGTTGATTGATTCCTGATTCCAAGAGCAACCTTCAAAGTCAAACTGCTTCCCAAAGTAAAGAGTGTAAGCATTATTACCCCCATTTCATAAAAATTTTCCAGAACTTGAAAGTCAGAACATCTGGATTCTTTAAATAATGGACAACTCAGCCTATTTCATTAATAAAAAATGTATGCTATATCCCCTATAAAATGGGGATTACCTCATTTTACAGCAAATGAACGCTAACAAAAATTGCTTTTTCACTTATTTATCCCTTGTTACCTAGTTCCTTATGAACATGGACCCTGCTTTACACTATACCAAGGATCCATTTGGATTTCAGGAATGGTCTATAAACTTAGATGGGTCAAAAATACATCTTTATTTTTGCTAACTTTGGGTTTCTCTTGTAACTTTCTGCATTTTATTTTATTCCTTTAAAAATATCATTATAGAAGTCTCTAGGTTTCATTAAATTTCCAAAGAGGCACATGAAACAAAATAAAGTTAAGAATCAATGCACTACATACCACAATGCTTGGTATATAATAGGAACTCTATAAATATTTATTAAGTTGAATTCTGCCAGACAAAGAACACCATCCCCCCAAAATGACATATGTATTTCATTCAACCAGAACAGTTTGCTATTATGTTTGTCATTTAATATGATTGGTTAAACAAGTGCTTTATGATTATGAGGTGTCCATTTAAAAAAATTGGAGTAGATTTTCCTTTACTCCACTGAATAATGGAGAATTGACTATATCTAGATTATTTGAATCAGATTGCTATGAAAATAGCAAAAAAGGTAGACACAGAAGTTGCAAAGGTAGGGTAGGCATAGATGGGTTAAGAACTGTTTCATTGAAGGAGACATCCACATTGATGACATGACAGATCCATTTGAGTTCATGGATAGTGTGTGTGTGTGTGCATGTGTGTGTATGTATGCATGGACACACATGCACACACAAATACATATATTGGTCTTTGTATCCCCAGTGTCTAGCACAGTATCTGGCATACATATGTATACATTTAAAATGATGCCCTTCTTTCTAGTCCTAATGTTTTATGACAGACTTATTAACATTCATTTTACTGATATGGTACACATACTCCCATGAAGTAACATGACTGTGAGTGTACAATTTATGAAAAGCGTCATACAGAAAGGATAAGTTTTGCATGCTCCATTTGAACTTCACAGACTAGTGATAACTCATAATCTTCATTGTTTAAATGCATTCATTAACCAAAAGGTCCATAAGTTGCCTAACTAAATTGATTTGGAAAGGCAAGGCACATGATAATGCAAGAGAAAGATGCTTTGAAAATGGAGACTAGAGAAAAAAAATAAAGATAATAAGGAAGCCCTGAGTTGTCTAATGATTGAAAATAGCAAAATGATGGCCCTGATTTCCCTTCCTTGACTTCTGGGCCTTAATGTAAACCTCTTTGACTGATATAACTTTGAGTGATTGATAAATCATCTAGCTTCAAGGCAGTGAAATAAATAAGAGACCTGTGACTTTATGCAATACTGGTCTTTCTGATTCTTTTGTGGAATCTTCTTAAGTCCAAAGGCTATGAAAAAAGACCGGGACAGATACCATCTATGAATATATTTTTTAAGTCATAAGAAAAGAAATTGAAATTGCTGATCATGAAGATAAGATATAAAGAAGATAAGAACCAAAGGGCCTATTTAATTTACTAGGAAATCATCTCAATAATAGGGTTGATACGACTTTGGTTCAATAGAAAGAGCATTGATGGTGAAGTTGAAGGACCAGCCTTCAAATCTCTTCTTGAGCGATCTTGGATAAGTCACTTAACTACCCTATGCGTCAGTTGTTTGTTTGTTTCATCTCTAAAATGAGGGATTTGGACTGCATGGCCTCTGAAGTCTCTGCAGGCTCTACTTTTGTGATCTTATGATATTCTGCATCTCCATACAATTATTGCAATATAAAAGAAAACATGTCACATTTCAGATAAAAAGATTAAATCTCTAATTAGATCTAGTGTTTGATGTCAGGAAATTTTTGGAGAGAAAAATGTAACCCCTCATCCCTCTTCTGATTCCCTGGCTAGAAAATCATTAAATTCTTTAACTTCCTATTTAGTCTTTCTAATTGTTACCTCTTTCTCCTGTTCCTGAAGAATTTCTGTACACTGGTCCCATGGTAAGTTATTTACCTTCTTGCCTTGTCTTGTCTCTCTGTTCTGGTTGTTCCTTTGAATATGATTCTGTGAGCAAAATCTTTCAGCTGGTTTAACTATTGATTGGGGGGCAAAATCACCTCATACATCTATGCAGTGGAAACAATTAGACCAAAAGCCTCCTCTTGGATCTAGGCTTCTATATCCTACTTCCATGGCTGCTCCCCCTGCTCTCTAGTTCTGAACCTCAACTCCAAGACAGTTTGTATCTGGTTCCTAACAGCTGAATGAACTAAGCTGAAAGACAGACACACTCAATCAGAGGTTCAATAGAAACTGGACACCTTGTCCTTGTCCTTAGCCAGCAAAATAATAAATTCTCCATGCCAGGGTTGCTAATCACTAACTTTGCTCGGGCCTCTCCTTCCTGTGAGTGGAACCTGAGACTCTGTTTTATAATAATTCCAGTAATAAAATCGCATGGAGATATAGCATTATCAACATATTCTCAATCCCCACTCCACCTTTCCATTAATTTGCAGGTCATTTCCATTATGGCTCGTGGAGAAAATATTATAAATAGCATCTGCTTCATTCTCTAGTGAAAATGAAATGGCATCCAATACTAGTCTTCATACCAGAACCTGAAAATCACTGGCCTTGTCCATGTTTATGATATGTTGCCTGAATGGAAATCAATGCACCTGCAGATAAATTCCAAAGTAGAATTGAAGAATCATTAAAAGTAGACTGAATCTTCATGACATTTTTTATATAGTCCTAGAAATTCTGACAATGGCTCTAAGAAAGGAGAAAGAAATTAGAGGCATAAAGATAAGGAAAGAGAAGATAAAACTATACCCATTTTCTGATGATATGATGGTTTATATAGAAAATCCTAGGGAATCAGCAAAGAAACTAATTAAGGTTATTAATAGCTTTAGCAAAGATGTAGCCTGCCAAACAACCCACAAAAATTAACATATATAATACACCTACATAATAAAAGTGAAATCCAAGAGGCACTAATACAGAGAGAAATCTCATTCAAAATAATTATTAAATGCATAAAATATTTTAGAGTCAAAAGCAGAAGCAAACTCTTAGAAAGAGTTTAATTATTAGTAATTAAAATGCAGTTTCCTGAACCTGGGGATAAGCAAATGAAACATTGAAAATATTATACAGTACTTATGATATATTCAGCCTTTGTAAATTTCACTTTAGTAAATTCTAAGGTGTGATTTTCAGTTGAACTTATATTTGTTTAACCTATTTAGTTGAAATCAGAACCAATACTTCACTGATTTTGAATGACTCTAAGGTTTTCTTTCTAATTGGTTAGGGGTTAGAAGTCCATTTGAAGATACATATTCCAATTTACAAATGAGTCAGTGTCCACATATTATCCATGACATATACATACACATATGAAAAGTATTTGTTTGTGGTTTTCCATTCATACTTCCATATTCCTTCAAAAAATATTTTTTTCTCATGGCTATATTTGATATCTAGCCATAGGCTATTAGTCTTACAATGAAATTGATGTTTGATATGGAAATTATAGAATTGGTATATGAAGGCTGAGGTCAAGATATGGGGTACCTGAGAATGTATGTGAATTATTGAAGGTGAATCTCCCTTCTTGCTAATAGAACACAACTTACCTGAGGTTGTTGGAATAACTCCTTCCTTCACCAGGAGGGTAAGTTGAACTTGGCCTTCACCTGAAACTGAATTCAGAAAATAAGAATATGTCAATGAAGCCAATAACCTCAGGAACACAAATAGGATTTCAGAGAATAGCAAGTATATGATCAATTTGCCATTCTCTCCCTCCCTAACCTCTATTCCTCTATCTTTTGAACAAACAAGCAAAAACAAA